GAGACTGTTCAGGGCTTTCGCGAATACAAGGAAACCAGGGCATCCCGTACACCTGCTGCCATGGAGCCTCTACTGAAAGCAGTCCGAACCATCGCTGTCTCCACTAGTGAGTGTGAGCGGGCATTCAGCTGCATGAACGATATCCTTACTGCAAAAAGGAATGCTCTCTTTGTCAGCCGACTGTCCAGCCTGGTTTTCATTAAATGTAATGGACCATCACTAGGACAGTTCAATCTGGAACAGTATGTGAGGTCCTGGCTGGCAAAGGGAAGGAGAAGTGCTGATGAAAGAGCCTGTCCAGCTCCAGCCCCTGATACTGATGTCCCAAAGGCCTTCTGGAGCCTTTTCTAACAATGTGAAGTATATTGCAAAGCAGCTCACCCAGTGAGAAGACTTTTGGCATAATGTGCCGATTTGTACAGATCCTGGAGATAGAAGGACTTCAGACCAACCAGGGAGTTATCTGATCAGCTTGGTGTTCAATGTAACTCTTTACCATGGCTCAGACTTTGTTACTTGCAGTTACAGTTTCTCATTTTAGATTGTGCACATTTTGCATTTGTTTTTACATGTTCTTTGTTCATGCTCTTTATCATTTTTCTGAGTTGGAAAGTTAGATTGCATCATAGTTTACTTTATACATATTTGTATTCTTCAGTGGTGAAGTATATTGCAAAGCAGCTCAGCCATGTGAGAAGACTTTTGGCACTTTTTCGTTTTTCGTTTTCTGAGTTGGAAAGTTAGATTGCATTCAAAATGTACAGAAATACTTAATTTTGTTAAAGCTTTTTATAAAAAAGGCTTCTGACCAGAGCTTTGTTTCCTTGTCATTAATGTTGAACACCACCAGAGGGGCTCTCATCTGAAAGGTCTCTGCTTCATGTGTCTTCAGCAGAAGATCTAGACTTTGATTGTTATATTTTCAGTTAATATTGACCTTATTGAGCTTTAGCCATATCCGCTGCCTATCATAAAAAATGTTAAGTACAGTGAACCTTTCTAAAATATACAGTAGTAAAGAGACAAACCCACCAGCATTATAGTAGCCAAATTCTTGTTTGTGGGCTGTATATATAAAATTGACTTGAAAAAGTTGCTGATTTTAGAGTACTGGCACCTTTTTCATTCCAATTCAAGCACTGGCCGATACCGATATCAATACCGATACTTTTTTTTATGAAAAGCGTCTTATGTACTTTCATATAGGGGAGAGCTGCATGACATGATTTTTGAGCTGAAATCATCATAAATAGACTAAATCTGAATTCATTTTCATGAATAAAGACAGGACAGTTTTTATAGACAAATACACGTTTTACTTTTGCAAATTTAAAGTGCAAACATGAAAAATAACAATACAAAGTGGCCAAAGTAGCGAACTGTCTTCTTGCACACATCACAGTTCGCTAAGTTTTAATGGCCAGTTGTGAAATTGCTCCACACAACGCTGCTCTTTCTCTCAGCCATCATGCGCGTGTGTGTGTTGCACTCGCGAGTCGCTGGCTGCTGCTGTCCTGCCCTGCTGGCTGCTGTCAGTCAGCTTGATAATCGGCGTTCAGGCAGGGAGCCTCGAGGAGAAGAGGACAGCAGTGGAGAGAGAAGAAAAGAGCATATACTTGTGTTCGTCTGCACATAGTTTTTTGAAGAAATTGACGAGTAGAGGAGATGAGAAAAAAAGTATAATAGTATCGATCCTATTGGCTCTAGTATCGATATTTTGAAACGTAACGTAATATCGGAGGTATCGATATTTTGGGATCGATCCGCCCACCCCTACTTCTCAACCTTTGAGGCAAGTGACGTCCCGACTCCCGTGTTGTGTACTTACCCAATCTGTGGTTATTTAAACATTCCCTGATAAACGTTATTTCAGCGTCAATAAATGAGTGTTAATCCCAGTGTGTTTAGTGTGCAACATCACATGTCATTTGATTTCACCTTCAATTCACGGTTTTCAAAACGTTAGCCACATGCTAATGCTAACGCGGAAATGACGAATTTTCAGAATAAAAGTGTTAAATTAATAGTTAGTGTGAACTTCCGTTTTTTTCAGAATAAAACTGCTTTAAATTAAAACCCTGTATTTAATTTAAATTACGTCATATCAACATTGATTTTAATTTCTTACAGTAGGAGAGGTTTTGGGGTTTAGGTTTGGGAGGGAGGAAGGAAGATTAGGATTAGGTAAAAAAAGTGGTTAGGGTTAGGATGGGGGGGATGGGTCTGGTGAGGTGAGGCCGGTGAGGCACAAATGAGCTCTGCCTCACCTCAGAATGCGTCACCCCACAGAAACTGTCTGGAAAGCGGGCCCTAAGCGCATGCCTGCACCACCTCACTGTATGTCACCAATGTAATGTTTGTAGATTCCTTTATTACATTTATCCTCGCCATCCATAGTCTCTAAATAACTTATTTCACGTATATATGATATTTAGGCTCGCTGGTCTCATCATACAACGACAATGAAAAAAGCACCAGGGGAGGCAGCCATAACCTCTGCCGCACTGAAGGGGGCGCAAGTGAGCCCACAGGTTCTTGTTGCTACTGTTATTCTACGCAGAGACGGTAGACGCGACGCAAACAACAAACTAGACTTTTGAAACTAGAGGAAGATAAGGAGGACTTTTACAAAAAAGTAATAGAGATTGTTGTCCAGAAGGATAGCATGGACTTCAAGTCAAGGTAAGACCCCAATTGTAAAGAAAATGGGATCTTACTAAGAAAGAACAATCCAATATTTAGATTTTGGGTATCCTTTTGTAGTCTGTTAAACTAAAAAAGCTTTTGAAAATAACCGAATATGTCGATTATGGTCAAAATATGATATTTGTAAATCTGACTCTGAAAGAGTCAGTGCCTCACCAGCCATGAACCTCACCGCACGTCACTGCAATATACAACTACACAAAAATAATGATTTTTTAATTTACTATATCAGTACTTTGTAGGTTGGTTTATATGTACGTAATCTGCGCGATTTGCGCGTCCACATCTCCACGTGCAGTGCTGCATAAACATGGCTGAGTCAGCGATAACTTTCGAGGGGTGGAGGTATGCCCATTATTTTGAGTTCGTCCGAAGAATAGACAGGAATGTGACGGTGAGGTGCAAACTGTGTCCAGGCCAGAAGCTGTTATCCACTGCTGTAAACACCACGTCAAACCTCAACAAGCACCTGCAAAGAACACATGCTAAGGTGAAGCTACCGCTCACGCTATTTGTTGTTTGTTTATATCACGTAGTCTGTTCTTCTTCTCTGTCTTCCAGTTGTTGCCAGTTTTGAATGACAAATACACACTACCGCCGCCTGCTGGTAAGGAAAGTTATTGCCACTCACGCATGCGCAGTTCGTACGTGCTCGGCGAGTAAAGTAACGAGTTACTTTATGTAGATAGTAACGAAGTAGTGTATTATATTACTTTTTTTTTTTTTAAAGTAATATGTAATATATATTAAAAAAAATTTAGTAACGACCCCATCTCTGGAGTTAGCGTTCTCTACTCTGATTTACATGAAGAACAACAGGAGGTCACGGCTCTCTGTTGAACAGGACTTGCGAGTGGCCCTCTCCTCAGTGCCACCAAGGATTAAAAAATGTCTGCGCGCCCCGACAGGCACATGTATCTCACTAATTTGTAAGTCGGCAAAAATATTTACAATAGCAGATGTTTCAATGCTGATTGCTGAAATGTTACATTTATAATTTGTAGTTCAGGACCATGGACAATGCAGCTTCCTTGCATTGACAGTTCTCATTTTTAATTGTGTGACCTGTCTGGTTTAAATGAGTGTGTTGCTGCTTTGATGAAGCCTAATTTGATAAAGTTTCAAATTAATTTCTGAAATATTTCGTTAATAAATATTTTATGAGTAATATAATTGTCTTTGTCACATTTTATTTGGCATTAGTAAATAATTATGCACATTTACAGATATTGTACATGATATGAGTGATAACACGTGTTATAAGGGCTATTTTGCACAATAGGTGTGCCTTGAGATTTTTACTTGTCCTTTGGTGTGCCTTGGGCACAAAAAGTTTGGGAACCACTGGGCTAGAGACGTGCCATAGAGCATGTTGCAAAACACACAATAGCCATCATGTGTAGTTCTGGGGACGGGGTGGGGGAGGGGGGGACTACACCATGTGCTCTGTTTGACAAACCCCGTTTTTTTTCACCATTCATTCCAATGGCTGGCGTCTATGTCACGTGATCTTCAAATTTCTCCCTGCAGAAAAAGAAAACGTGGCCAAACTTCGTTTTATTCTCGGTGGAAAATGCCTATTTTAAAGTTAGTTTGGCCATTAAAATGCGTTTTGATGTCATTTGATGCGAGAAATATGAGTTGTTATTTCAGATTATGTGTGCAGTGGATGTACATGATCTTTAGTTTGCTAGTTATTGTAGAATGATCGAGGGTCGAGTATCTTTCACGACTCAGGTTTATTGTACAGTAAGTCAAGACATTACAGTAGGCAGCTACAACACAACTCGCGGGCTTACTCTGAAGTAAAGCAATCCCTCGCATGCCGTAAAGCATGTCGCAACACTGTCATAACTAATATGCATATGTGACATCTCCCCTTTTTCCTAGTTATTTAATCTTAAATAACTGTAAAGAGTTTTGACAGATTAGTCACAGCATCATCCTGTAATAGTAAACAACAGTCAAACTTTGATAGCAAATGTTCATTCAGTCGTACTGACTAACCAAAAATGTCCTATGAATACAGGTTAACTTAATGTTGATAAAGATGGGTAACCAATACCTTCAGTAGTGCTGTTATAAAATAAAATTCAAGATGCAAGTTTTCTTTTCTAAACATTGCAGCAGTAATATCACATGTGTGCATAACATTCACAATAAACAGAACCCAAAATTCAGCAGACTCAGAGTCCACCTGTGTTTCCCTATTCATTTTCTCCCTCCCAAAGGCCATAGGTGTTTTTTTTCATTCACCCCCAGAGGTCATTGTGAAACACCCAAAACACTCCTGTCTACAAGTCCAACCTAGTGGCCGGCTTACTGACACGGCCAGACCTGGTCTGAACACGTCCTGGTGTTGGTGTATGGGTTGTCACCTCACTTGGTTTCAGGGTAACAGTCTCTGGTGTGTTGGCGCTTACAGGCTGGGAAATCGCCACAGCACTCTCTGCTGGTGTTAGTGGGATGTGCTGTGCAGGTCGGGAAGTTGGTTCTGCCCGGAGATGAAGTCGGTTCCGCCGCAGCACTGCACCTCCTTGTGTCTTAATGAGGTAAGACCTCGGAGTAACACACTCTTTTGAGACGATCGCAGGTGTCTTCCAGGACTTCTCGTTGTCGAGCTTGGTGTAGACTGTGTCTCCTGGCTGTAGAGCTGGTAGATGCCTGGCACCGTGTCGTCGGTTGTAATAAAAAGCTTGTTTTGCTTTCTCACTCGTGTCTTTTAGTTTGACAATCTGTCTGTTAGGCCATTTAGGCCGTAGATTTTTCTCGAGTGTCGGGAGCGTCGTTCTGATCTTTCTCCCCATTAGCAGTTCTGCTGGACTGACTCCTGTGGTAGTACAGGGAGTCGATCTATAGCACATAAGGGCTATCAGTGGATCTTCCTGACGAAGGATTCTCTTAGCGGTCTGTACTGCTCTTTCTGCATGACCGTTTCCTTGAGGATGGTGAGGACTAGACGTGATGTGTCTGAAGTCCAACCGCTGTGCCAGCTCCCGGAATTCTGCACTGGAGAATTGGGGACCATTGTTACTCACAACCTCTTCAGGAATTCCAAACCTAGCAAAGGTCGTTTTAAGTCTCTGGATGACAAGGGCACTTGTCGTAGATGGTAGTTGTAGTATCTCCAGGTACCGTGAATAGTAGTCTGAAATAACAAGGTAGTTGTGCTTGTTATGTTCACAGAGGTCGAGAGCGATTCTTTTCCACGGACGATCAGGCAGCGGTGTGGAAATAAGCGGCTCCTTTTGTTGAGCCCGCTTCTGCTCCTGGCAGCTCCTGCATATGTTGACAATGTTCTTAATGTCTACAGAGAGCCCCGGCCACCAAACTGATGCATTCGCCCTTTCTCTGCATTTTGAGAGCCCCTGGTGTCCCTCATGTATTTTCTGCAAAATGTCTGCTCTCAGTGACCCCGGAACCACAATCCTGTTTCCTCGTATGACTAAGCCATCAGCTTCCGATAGCTCATTTTTCACTTTGGTGTAGTCCCTGATGTTCAGTGGAACATTACTACTGCATTCAGGCCATCCTGCCCTAATCAGCTTGATGACAGCCTGAAGCTCACTGTCGGCTGCTGTCTCTTTTCTGATATTCTCCATTCTCGTTGGAGATGCTGGGATGCCCTGTATCACTGTGGCTACATAGCATGCCACATCTTCTTGAGTGTCAGTCTCTTCCTTTGTATGTGTCTGTGGGCTTCGGGACAGTGTGTCGGCGACAACAAGGGTCTTCCCAGGCACATGCTCTGCTAAAGGTTTGTACCTCATGAGCCTCATTAGTAGACGCTGACATCTCAAGGGGACGTTATCTAGGCTTTGTTTGTTGATCAGTGGCACTAATGGTTTGTGGTCGGTCTCCAGCCTGAACTGATCCAAGCCACATAGATACTTGTCAAACTTTTCACAGGCCCATACGCTAGCCAAGCACTCCTTTTCTATCTGGGCGTAGCGTGTCTCCGCTTCTGTGAGACACCTCGAACAGTAGGCTACTGGCTTCCACTCCTCTTCATGGAGCTGGAGGAGGACCCCCCCCAGGCCATAGCTACTGGCATCAGCAGACACCGCTGTGGCTTTAGCCACATCATAGAAGACAAGAACCGGTGCTGTGGTCAGCAATATCTTAATGTTCTCAAAAGCTGACTGCTGTGAGTGACCCCAGGTCCAGATTTTCCTGCTCTTCAGAAGCTCGTACAGTGGTTGACCTATTGTGGAAAGGTTTGGAACGTACCTACCCAGGTAGTTCACCATGCCCAGGACTCTTTTCAGCTCATGGACGTTTCCTGGTGGAGCCAGCTGATGTATGGCTTCAACTTTATCAGGGTCGGGCCTGACTCCTGACTGGTCGATGAGATGTCCCAGAAAGCGTAGCTGGCTTTGTCTGAGGGAGCATTTATCTTTATTGAGTTTTAAGCCTGCTGACTCAACACGCTGTAGTACCTTCTCGAGTCTGGCGTCGTGCTGTTCTGTCGATGTCCCATAGACCAGGATATCGTCCATGAAGACTTCAACGCCTTCCAGCCCCTGCAGAGTCTCTAGCATTTTCCGCTGGAAGATCTCAGGCGCACTGGAAATCCCGAAAGGTAACCTTTTGAAACAGTACCTGCCAAACGGTGTTATAAAGGTTGTTAATTTACAGCTGACTGGGTGCAGTGGGATTTGCCAGAACCCACTTGCAGCGTCGAGAGAGGAAAACACAGTTGCACCACTTAGCTTTGCAGTTATTTCATCAGAGGTAGGTAAGATGTAGCGCTCTCTTTTTACTGACTCATTTAGTCTTTTCAGGTCCACACAGATCCTGGCTTTGCCTGTGGTTTTCTTTAGAACGGGCACCATAGGAGCACACCATTCAGTTGGCTGTGTTACCTTCTCGATGACACCGTTCTTCTCCATCCTCTGCAGTTCCTCTTTTACCATCTGTAACATTGGGAAGGGCACACGACGTGCTGTATGTACTGCATATGGTTGAGCCCCATCTTTTAATTGGATTTTAACAGGTTCAGTTTTTAGTGTGCCGTGCTCACCATAGGCTTGAAGGTGTTCACTGGTAGTGAATTTCACTTCATCAACACGCCTCACCAGGTTAATCTCCACTGACAAATCCCGGCTGAGTAGGTTTTTGACACTCTGGCCACGGACTACATATGCTTCAAATAGGTAGTTATTTCCCTTGTAACTAACTGTAGCATTAAAGCGTCCCAGACACAACAGTTCACCTCCTGGGCTGTCTAATGGGATGTCAGCTGGTTTCAGTGTTTTTGGTGGAGTGAGTGTGTGAAATGCATCCTCACATAAGACGCTGACATCAGCTCCTGTGTCAATTTTAAATTCCATTGGAGTAGAATCTACCTGGAGCTGTACTGTCCACTGCTCTTTCTCATCTGCACTGCACACTGAGCCTAAGAAATAATGGGTCTGCTCAGCCAGCCTGTACAGTCCCTGTGACCTCATTCACTGATCTATTGCTGTTTCGGCACACTCTGGCCCAATGCCCTATTTTGTTTCACTTGTGGCATGTAGCTTTAGCTGCAGGACACCCTTCTTCCTTGCTATGTTGTGATTTCCCACATTTACCACATTTCCTTTCACTTCCCCCCCATTTTCTGTCTTTTGACTTGCCTTGATGTTGTTGAGGTTTCCATTTGTTATTTCTTTCTTTGAATCTCACCTCCTGTACTGATCCCACTGTGTCTTCCTGCAGACTCACTTGTGCTGCGACCTCCTCTGACTGCCTGACGGTCCGTATCGTCAGTGCTAGTGTTAGGTCCGCCGTCAGCTGCAGTCTGCGCGAGAGCTCTCTGTCTCGTATCCCGACAACGATTCGGTCGCGGATATTCTCATCTCGGCTTACCAAACTCACAGTGTTCAGATAGATCATACAGGGCTCGGATGAAACCCTCTGCCTTCTCCCCTGGCCCCGCTGGTGGAAACATGCCCTCTCGTGGATAACGTTCCTCCTCGGGAAAAAGTACTCGTTGAACTTTCCCACCACAACGGCAAAGTCATCGCCGTCTGCTTCTTCGGCAAAAGTGAAAGACTTGAAAATGTTTTCTGCCTCGTTGCCCATGGCATAAATCAAGCAGCTCACCTGCACTATCCCGTCATCTTTGTCGAGTTTAGTAGCGAGTCTGTACCGCTCAAAGCGTTGCCTCCATTCTGGCCATTCAGTCGGTTTATCAAACGAAAAGTTCGCTGGGGGATTAAACTTGGCCATTCCGCCGTCTATATTCCTCTACTTTGTCTTGTTTAATTCCTGTGACTCACCGGCCACTTCTGACACCATGTAGAATGATCGAGGGTCGAGTATCTTTCACGACTCAGGTTTATTGTACAGTAAGTCAAGACATTACAGTAGGCAGCTACAACAACACTCGCGGGCTTACTCTGAAGTAAAGCAATCCCTCGCATGCCGTAAAGCATGTCGCAACACTGTCATAACAGCCTTAACTCTGTATGCATTGTATGCAAGCCCCCAGGAAGTGCGCCGGACTCAGATGAAAATATTCGTGCTGGCCAATATATTACATATTACATATTACTTTTTTAAAAAAGTAATATATTACACTACTGCGTTACTCTCTAGATAAAGTTACTTGTTACTTTACTCGTTACTTTACTCGCAGGGCCGGCCCGCCCCTACAGGCAGATCACGCAGACTGCGGCGCACCTACAGTGTAAGCGCGCCACAGTTTTGCCTCTGCGAGACTCCACTTGCACCCCCAATTACTATTGCATTAAGGAAGACATAACACAAGTCTTTCTTTTTATATGCTCTAAAATAGGCTACCAGCCACACAACAAGCTAACAGTCTGTGAAACGTAAATACACTAATTAATTAAACCAGTTCAAGACGCATTATTCTTCTCATTCTTTAGTAAGGTAACTAATTACTTATTTATTTAGTATTCCATAACTTAGTAACAGAGATGGTCAAACTAAAGTGGTAGAGACATGGCAGAATTCCTACAATGAAGCGGGGCATTGAACTGTTCACCCGTGAGAGGGCGATCAACAAAAGAGAGCGAGCGGCCCCATTGAGGGAGTTTACAGACTCAGCCATGTTTATGCAGCACTGCTGCACGTGGAGATGTGGTCTCGCAAATCGCGCAGATTACATAGGCCTACATGTAAATAAACCATAGATATAAACCGATATAAACCGATATAAACCTGCGGCGGAAACCCCTCTTGTCTGTCAGTGAGTGTGATTATTTTATAAAAGTAACGAAGTAACGCGTGTCGGGGCAATGTTAGTAACTGTAGTGTGATTACTGAATTATAAAAGTAACGCGTTACACTACTCCGTTACCGGTATAAGTAATATTATTACAATAACGCGTTACTTTGTAACGCGTTACACCCAACTCTGATGATAACAACATCCATTACCATGCTGTCATGAACGCGCGGTGCTGTTACGTGTACGCAAATTGACGTGCTTGATGTGAACGAGCATTTTGGTTAAAGTTGCGCATGCTCTATGAGTGCACATACGGGTACTTCTCAGGCATGCTGGGTAATCTGTGACGTTTCACTCTCTCAAAAGTTGGGCCATTTTATCATCATGCGCTAATGAGCAGCTCTCATAGGAATGAATGAGGCCCCGCCTCCCACGCTGTATCCAGTTCTTATTATACATCCATGATTGTATGCCAACCCAGTCTCGCGGCATTTCGTGTTCACCAACACGATTTGCCCCTTTTTTTCATGTTGCACAGCACGATTTTAAAAGCAATGTATTTCTACTGCCTGCAGCACGTATTTTTCTCCGGTAGGGTCGAGGAAGACCGGAAGCTGTGTGGTTCATAAAAACATGTTCTTACTCAATATCAAGCCACAGTTATTGCTTTTATTTGAAATCGTATAATTTCGGACTTTTGTTGCCGTCTGTGAGGAAAATAAATGGGGCTCAGAGCCTCAGGATACTAAAATCTGTATTTTTTAAATCTTTTTTTCCTTCTAATTTGTTATTCTTTTCAAAATAACACACTGTTATTTACTCACCAATAACACACAATTATCCTTGCTTTTATTTATTGGTTTAATTCCATAATCTCGGGCTTTTTTGGCGTCCGTCAGGAACTGAATTTCAAAATAAAAATAACCGGAAACAGACGTAGGCATTTCGAGCGATTTCCCAAGATCCTCAGCTATGGTTTTAAGCTCGCTTATTGGATATTTTAGCCGCAATGCTGGGATTTGGTGTTTATATGATATGAAATCCGGAAAACATTTAAAAAGAATAAAATAATACTTAATTCCGAGCGCTCTTGCTTTTCTCTTTGAAAGTCATCACATAACGGCATTGTAATACACGGTTCGGCTGCATTGTATATTACAGGTCTGCCGTAGTTCTTTATTTATAGAGCCCTGATGAGAAGACCTTTGGAAAAACTGAGAAAATGCCACCGAAACTGAATACTTGACGTGGATCATAAATATATTCAACAATTAAACAACATCTTCAATTTCTCTTCACACAATACGTCTCCTTGCAGTATCAACACTAATTCGGCTGACTTTTACATTTGATCTAATTCACAGATAGGTTATATTTACACCATAACGGTGCACAGCTGATATAAAAGGACTGTAGTTTCTAAAGATATTACTGATTTTCTTTGAATGTAAGAATGTAAATACTGAGTCTGAAATAGTATAGCAATATGCTGTAAAATTATGTGAAAGCATGCATAAAACTACACATTTTCAGATGTTGTACGAAAACAAAAGTGTCCTACACTAATAATACAAAGTTATTATGGCTGTGTGTACCTTGTGTGCACCGCCTAGTGGTTAAAGCACGTTATTGAATTATTGTGTTTTATTTGATTAAAAAAATATTAAGAGTACATACTTTCATAGGGGGAAAGTATAAATATAGAATATAAAAAATCAAGAAGATACTATAAGTGATCTCTACAATAAAACAGTTTAGTGCAGAATGTACAAAGATATTAATAGGAGGAGGTGCAAAACAGAAAAACGAATTAACCTTTATTTAAACATTAAATAACAGATTAAGGTCTTCTTTTAAATAAGAAAAAAACGTTGGGGGTATCTATCTACAGATAAATATTAAGCCTGACAAAGTACTTAACGTCTAATATATTGCTTTCCTGCAATGTTAACTATGTTGAAGCACTTATTTTAACTGATATTATACATATGAATTATACTCTTATGTATGTAGATAGAATAAGAAATGTGCAGAATATGACAGTTTAATGGTGGAGGTACACACATATTGATAGATGTCTTGTAATGCACTGTTGAGGAACCTGTGACCCAAGTGTTTCATTCATTGCATAACTACACCGTAGTTGTGTATATGATATGTCAATACACCTTTGAAAATCTTGAAAGGGATGTGCAAAATAGCCATAATATACAGTCTTTAATTAACTATTAGTAGAGAATAACGAGTAATGAATATACTTTATTACTCGTTTCCATTCATGTCAATTGCAGATACATGTTTAGTCTTCTCAAGCACCAACTATCAAATATCTCTCCTGATTGTTGGCACTTGACAATCACCTTACCTGAATTTCACTCAGGTGTAACTAAAGTCTGATTTAAGGGTTGTTTATATTTCACATAATTAATCAGAATCTGCAAAGTAACTCAAATAAATGCAGTGGAGTAAAAATACCAGGTTAACCTCTGAATTGTAGTGGAGTAGAATTACAAAGTAACAATGAGCTGTCATGTGGGTATTAATGCTGCGCATTATGGACACAAGCGATTTTCACCCATTTATTAATTATATGTTTTACATTTGATAACACCAATGTGTTTAATACTGGCAACTTCTAATTGTGGGAAAAACGAAAACGTTCAGTAGAGACGTCCCATAGAACATTTTGCGAAACACAATAGCCAGCATGTGTAGTTCTGGGGGGGCATTCGATTCCAGTTTTGGATAGTCTGGCGTGGTTTCGTTCCATTTCACACAGCTGTTTGACGCTCTGCGTAACCTTACGGGGACTGTAGTCCTAAACGATAGCTGGGGATTATGGGTAGTGTAGTGTCTTCGGCCATCCTAAACTCAGAAATGTTGACAATCGCAATGATGCTCGAAATGTCCCTTATAGGCCTACGTCTGTTTCCGGTTATTTTTATTTTGAAATACAGTTCCTGACGGACGCCAAAAAAGCCCGAGATTATGGAATCAAACCAATAAATAAAAGCAAGGATAATTGTGTGTTATTGGTGAGTAAATAACAGTGTGTTATTTTAAAAAGAATATCGAATTCGAAGGAAAAAAATATTTAAAAATACAGATTTCCGTATTCTGAGGCTCTGAGCCGCATTTATTTTCCTCACAGACGGCAA